TAAGACTCCACACCACCCCAGTAGGGTGGTGCCCAAGCTTCCCTAGCCTCAAGGATAGCAGTTACCTGCTCCTGGCACCTGATTCTATCTGGTGGCGGTACCCTCAGTCCCTGGGCACCTGACTGACCTTCAGCAGAAGCCTGGGGGAAGGGGAGAGACCAGTAAAGCCCCCAGCCTTTAACTCACACCTGCCTAGCTTCGGGGGAAGGCTGGGAGCAGACCGTAGTGAAGGAGCGTGTCTTAAAAACTCGTTTCCTTTCATACCTTCTCCTCCCAGATGGTGTTTTTTGGCTACATGGTGTTCAGCATCCTTTTCGGCCTCCTGGCAGACAGATACGGCCGCTGGAAGGTAGGTTGGGCCTTGGTGTATGATCTGGAATGTTCTTTTGTAGTAAGGTGGTTGTTCCCCCTACCTAGGTAGATCTTTGCCTACCACTACCCAAGATAGAATGTGGGGGGTTCCCTTCCACCCTACAGTCCTGAATTCTAGATTTGTCTCCTTGCTTCCCCCCATTTCTTCCTGGAGTACCAGTCCCCACATCTGAGCCCTACCAGCCCAGGTGTAGAGTTGATGGATGTGCATACCAAAACAAACAAACAAACAAACAAACAAACAAACAAACAAACACACTTCAAAATGCTACCATGGAGTCAATTCTGATGAGTCCATTACTCTGGTACGTACAAGGTCAACAGTTTGAAAGCGCCAGCCGCTCTGTAGCAGAAAGATGAGGCTTCCCATTCACAGCAAGAGTTACCGTCTCAGAGACCCACGGGAGCTGTTCCGCCCTGTCCTATGAGGTCGAGAAGAGATGGCTATGAGGTAGACATCAGAATGTGGGCAGCGACCGTGGCGCAGACAGCTAAGTGCTCAGCCATTAGCCGGAAGGTGGGAGGTTCAAACACACCCCGCTGTGCTTTCGAAGACGGGCCTGGTTGAACTGTTTCCACAGGTCCCCATCTTGAAGACCCCATAGGGCCGTTCTACCCCCACACAGGGGGTCCCCATGAGTCGAAACCCACGCACT